TCCAATACACAACAAGTGTTTCTCAACCTCCGTTGCAACGTGAGATGCATTTTTGCTCAAGAATAAATCTTTAATTTATAAAAATATAAAAATAGCATACAAATATTTTTATGTCGTATAATTTTAATAAAATAGAAAGAAATTGATCATCTTTCGTATTAAATTAGGTTAAGAATAACAATAACTATTGTTATAAAAATAATCAAAAATAATGTATCATTTTTCCAAAATATTTCATAACAAAAAGGAATTGTTGTTTCAAAACTAAGTACTTCAAATATCAATTAACTTGTGTATATTTGTTGTTTATATGTATCCGTAAAAATAACCCGCTATATTTTCTTATAAAATATTCACGTACAGACTTCTTGTTTATTGATTTCGTAAACTTATATTATATAAATATTAAAATATTTAAGTATTAAAATGGCATTTATATATTCAAACATAGATAAGTATGCATTTAAATATAAAGCAATATTAAAAACTTTCTCCATTTATAATGCAAAGTACAATTCAGAAACTATATAGAACGTATTTTCTTTCGTGATTTGACTTTAAAAATTAGCATCTGATTTCAGATTAAATTCGTCGTCTTTGTTTTCTATTTTGACCTATTTACACGAGGCGAATGACACTGTCGAAATTTTCAGCGATCGTTTCGAACAGCAAAAGTCCTCCTTCTTAATCTTATATAATTGTGAAAAGATAAAGACATATATATTTAAAAAAAAAAAGATATTTCAAAAAACGCAGACAAATAAGTCAATTTAAAAATACAGAATATAAAAAATATTGGGCACACACCTATATATAGTCACATATGAAGTATTCAATCATTAATAATTTAACATTTGGGTGCGCGCGTATAAAACAAAGTATTGTATATCTATTAATTTTAATCGATGTATACTCATTCAATAATCTTAATCATGTGTTTAATATATGTCAAGTATTTATAAATAAACATTAAATTTGTCTACTCATTAATCGAAAACGCAATAGTACGATAAAAAAATGATGATCGTACGAAACAACACGTGGTGATAACGTGTTGTGCGATGCAGAACGATCTCTAACCTTGTTACGTGACAAAAATGGTAAATGAGAGTTAATACGCTAATAAAATTAGACAAAATGCATAAGATGGAAATATATATAAATAAAGCAAAATATATATTAATATTTAAATATTAAAATGTTTGTAGTAGAATTAATATTAACAATTCACAGATATATAATATTAGTCTAATATCTGTAAAGTAAATCATAATCTTTACATAGGAATATTATTTACAAACAAATAAACATTTAATATTTGCAATCTAAATAAAATTATTAATGCACTCAAACAAGAGAATCTTTAATATTACGACTCGCAATTTTTCATTTATTTTTCTCGTTTAGAGTCATAAAAAATTATTTTTCTACTTCCCACACAACTCCCACAAAACTCAACAGGAATGTTGCGGAAACGTTTCAAAGTTTCAAAACAGTCTCTAAATCACGCTTAAACATCGTTAGAACATCTAATAAACATAACATATAGAAAATATAACATTTAAACCGTTTGTGCAACCTTTCATAAATTTGTGACATAATAGCGGGCATTTTCACGTATCTAAGATATTTTTGAGATTATTTTATAAATTTTGCGAAGGTCTCTAAGAGATATTTATTGAGTTTCGTGTGGGTTGACTCAGATATTTCTACGTTTTTTGTATTTCTAGTCTTTTGTATATATATATCGCTCCTGTGAATGAAAATGTATCGATTTCACAGTACAAAGTTCGTAACACTGTGACGTATTTTTAGCGAAACTGACGTCAGGTTACGTGTGGGCGTAATTGCAAGAACGACACCATCTGCGGGGTACAAATTCCACCAGATCTATATCCGCTCCTGCTTTTCAAATTGTCCCACTTTGCCAAGTCGTAGGCAACACTCCAAGATATAGGATGATAACACGCTTACACAGTTGTTTTATTTATGCATTTAAATCTGTATTGGAAGCTCGAATATTGGTAGTGGCACCAAAACTATACAGTGGTTTCTTCAAATGTATTATACATATATGCGACCTTGACCTAGTGCGAAGCGAAGGACGGACATTCCTTGAACATGAATAATGTCTGCCTACATCCACGTCTTTCAACAAGATTAAGGGAATAATTCAAATAAATAATTTTTCTGCTCAACTCGTTATTTCGATAAAGGTTTGATTCACAATTTGTATCATTCGCGCGGAAATTAGATGGATTCTTTCGTATATGTTCCAAAAATAATTTTGATGCATTCTTCGAAGCGTGATATTTATCAGCATTCATGCTTGAAGAATAGCATGAAGGAAGTGATAAATGCGTATTTTACTGACAAGGTGAGGCAGGAAGTGGTTGCGATGCATTTACATAATTATAATTATTCGCCATTTGAGATTATTCAACGCAATAACAAAGTTGAAAATAAAATCATGTTCAAATTAAGTATTAAAAAATATAATTTGCTCCGTCCAATTTTTACACGCATTTTATAGAACGTTTCTAATAAAAAATGCTTTAAATTAATTATCAAATAATTTGTATATATATTCTATAAGTTATATCAATAATTAATACTGTAATAATAAAAACTTTTGTAAAATATGTTATAAAGAAATCTAGTGAAACATTCTTCTTGAAGTGCAAAATTGTTTCCGTTGTTAGACACATTTGTGACGTTAAACCGTGAAGTCTATTAACATTTTTGAAACAAAAATGCTAGACAAAACACGTATTTGCATATTGTATATTAGAAATCGAAGGTGAATGACTTGGATTCTATCCCACATTTTTCCATAATTCTAAAACGATGTTTCTTTTCATATTCCTTATTTAATTTTAATATTAAATAATCATTCTTTAAATTACATTTTTTAATATTTTTACATTACTTTGAAAATTCCAAGAGTTGATTAAATCAATTTTTCTCTAGATTTTATTTGCTATTTTTATCTACTATTTTACTTTTAATTGAAATAATAATATTATTTTTAATCGTACGAAGAAAAGCAGAATCAAGTGACAAATATCGACCAATGTATATATTTATAAATGTACTGCTAACATGACAGGAAGAAACTCATTTGGATTGTTCATGTTTGCAACAGTTGCATCACACAAACGTATCTGTTATCACTCTTTATCGACAGAAGTATACATAACACATCAAGTAGAAGGAAGGCCGACTACGCTTGTCCAGAAATCGTAGCGAAAGTTGCCACGCGTTCTCTTTTTATTAATGAGTGAAAGAGAAAGAAAGAGTCAATTCCTCATCCGAGAGATCCGAGAAATGAGAACCAGTTTTTACACACACACGCGCGCCCATACATACAAAACATACATATATACATGCACAAACATTACGAATTTATCATTGAATCTGCACGTACGTCTTGCGTGTACATTACACCAGACTAGCATAATAACGTCGTTGTTATCGTAAATGCGTAAATACAGTAACGAATTATAGAGAGATATATAGGACACGCGCTTCAAGATATTCCTAAATGGGTTAATATAATATAAGGAATAAATATTTATAACTACAAAAATATATATGAATTTTAAGTATTTAATTAAATTAAACATAAATGCTAATCACAAATATGATTTATATATGTGTATATTAATAATATGTAATCTTTCAAAAAATCTCTAAAAAAATCTTTACGAATAGTATATATTTTTTTACATTGTCATTGTTACTTATTAATTTTTTTGAATTATTATTAATTATTAAAAGTAACATTTAATTGTAAGACTCATATATGTGTACGTGCGTATGTTATACTTATATATTTGTATATATAAATAATATTTAAACATAAAATTATATGTATTAAGTAGTTAATAATAAAATTAAAAGCTTTAATATTATATGCTATTTTTCTATTTTATATTTATAGATAATATCGGGCTAAGAATGCAATATTGCAAATTATTATATGTATTATATTGTATATTATTATATTATAAACATACGTAAGACATTTAACTAATATCTTAGTATCGATGTATCGTTATATTTTATATTTATGTTCTACTGTTTAACACATACACATATTCTTGTATTATATTTTATATTATGCAACCATATATGATATTCTTACATCACGTTAAGAAAGATATCATATTACGATTACTCTATTTTGTTTATTAAGTCTATAATAAAATTTATTAATGTGCAAAAAAATTATCTATTATATATACAGTGTATTAAAAAAAAAATTTGTAATATTTTTTTAATTGTACCTAATAAATTCTTATAGTTTCGTTCCAAAAATACATATACATTAATATGATCTTTTTATCTATTTATGCTTTGTTGCAAAATTTTACATGTGGCAAACATATGTGTCAATTTTCAACAAAAACGTGCATCAGAAATGAAATTTTTGGAGCAATCAATTTTTTTAACGTGAATCATCATAAAGTATTTGATAGCATCACGCACGAAACACTTTTATTTATTATATTATATCGACATAAACATTTTATCGTGCTCTAATAGAAATTATAAACATATACAAGAGAGAAACATACATATATATATGTATATTAAATTGATGAAACCATTTTATAAAATCTATATTATAGCACCATGATTTCTAACGAATAAAATCGGAGATATTTCATGAATAAATAATTACTTCCCAAAGTTATTTGACGTCAGTATACACTATATATACATATATGTATATATAGTATATATTGAGCACCGCTGTGGAATATGCGAACGTTTTCCGGCTGCCTCGTCGCGTCAACCGGAATTTAAACGCCTCTCTGTCAATCGTGTGTTTAATCCACGTAACAAGCGGACGGGGCACGGCGGAATAAATCGAGACGATGTAAAACGCCTAGACGCGTCGAGAGAGAAAGAGAGACAGAGCACCCCTGACAGCAGGGGCGAACGTGCTCGTCGAACGCGACGACGAGGTAGCACTAGCAGCTAGTGGAACTCACCGAAATCGATGAATTGTTTTATCGAGAGCGGCGAGGGATTGAATTGGGAGTAAAAGTCCAACATCTTGCCGATGTTGCTCAGACAAGTCCGTGTGAGCCTCATCTCGCGTCGCCTTGTTGTTACACATTAAACCCGCGGGTCGGAGATCCCGTGTAACGTCGTCCGCACGTCGTAGAGATATTCGCGGCCCGAAGAGAAGTGGTCACTCGCAGCGTCGCTCCCTGAACAATATAAAAGACTGTCGGCTCGCTATTGGCGCGTAATACGGCGTAGCGGTGGTCGGACACGAGGATAAAAAGATATCGCGTCGCGCACACGTCAACGAGTGCTGAGAACTCCGCGATGCGCGGTGCGGTATATGCGGGCCTTTGCGTCGAGCCGCGCATGCGCACTGCGGAGTTGTTCGGCGCGTGTGGCGGAGAGAACGCGCGCATGTACGGGGCTCGAGTGTCTTGAAGCGTCACTCGCTTTTCTCGAGTCTCGTATGTCAAAATCGACAGCCTAGGACATAATGACACTATATGGATAATCATATATTTTTCATCTTTCTATTTCCCTCTTTTCTCTCTCTTCCTCTCTCTCTCTGTTCCAAATTCAAAATTTCAAATATTTTCAATATCCCCGGGTTGCGCGGGTTGCTTTATTATTACGAAGATCGCGGGCAAACTTATTTTATATGTATTACTCGTCGTATTTATTATATATTTTATAATATTGGAATATAAATAAAGAAATGATACTTTTTTAATTACATATTTTCTCGGAACGATTTACATTCGTTTCATATATCGGCGCACGTGTCTCTATATTCGTTTCTCGATTCATATTCCGGAAATGACAAGCGACATTTCAAAGTGCCATCTATATTACGCTCGCGATGACACGGGGAAGCAATTAACCTCTCCGTCCTCGCACGCATTTCGATATCGATCTTCCAGGGTCGACGGGGAATCGACGCGCTCTCTCGACACGAGTCACGATTTCTCGTTTCCCGTGAAAACGGAGCGCGCTGGGGGCCGGCAAACGCGCTCGATCGTCCGTCACGCGCGCAACGTGACGCGTCAGCCGCGAGGTTAGGTCGCTCGCGTGCGCTCCTTCCGCGCGAGGGTCTTCTGCTAGAGGTCGGCGCCACCCGCGCGATTTCGGAAACGCGTTTCCATCGTCGACGTGACGTCCGGCCGCGACCTGACGGCGCGAAATATCCTCCGCGTCGCGGGCTGATTTTTTTCCGCGCTTTCCCGACTCGACGAGGGATTTCCCTCGTTTGACAGCTCGGCCGCTCCGGAGCGTTTCAGTTGCGCGCTTGACTCGCGCGGTTGACGCCGCCGACTTCCGGTGGAGACAAGCCCATGTGGACGATCGTAGCGAAGACCCAGATTAGTCCGTGAGCAGCGTGTTCTTGGTGCGTTACCTATTCACGCGCTCTCGTGCACGTCCAAATTCCAACCCCCTCTCGGTTCTCGCGTGACTCCCCGGACTCTGTCGCGTCACCATGGCGGACCTGGACGATTTTTTTGCTAAAAAGGACCGTAAGAAGGCCAAGGGCAAGAAGTTCGCCACGACCGACGAGGTCGCCAAGAAGCTGGAGGAGACGGGCAAGAAGCCACTCGAGAAGCCCAAGCCGAAGGAGAAACCAGCGAATCCCGAGGGCGAAGAGTCCCAGCACACCGAGGTGAGACGATGATATGATGATGATGATGATGATGATGATGATGATGATGATGATGATGATGATGACGATGATGACGATGATTTCTTCTCACGCGTGATTTTCTCGTGTGCACTTCGGAATTCGTGCGATGCCACGACGCTGCCATGTTTGTTCCCGCGAACATCGTAGAGTAGCCTACGACGATGGTGCACTAGGTTCTTCGAACGTTTAAACGCCCCCTTATGTAATCGCCGAACACGCGAGATGGTCAACGCGTCGCGCCAGCTGTTTCCGAGCACGTGTTCTTCCGACCACTCTCTGGTGAACAGCATCCTCGTGGATGCGCTGTTCCTCGTGTTTAGCTTTCGTAAATGTGCCTTTTTATGCTGCAGCAGCAACTCAGTCACGTAATCAAAATTTATTAGAGCATTGGTTCCTTATTATTTCAGGATTAAAATAACGATTTTTGCTTTTATATTCTCATAATCTATTTTATTTTTAAAATCCATTATTTAACTGATATAATAATTAGAATCAACTAGTTGTGTGTTCTTCTGCTTTGCTGTTCGTTCAATTGAACTTTACCAATAGTAACAAACTGCTGCGGCTGCATGCTGTGCATGAAATGGTACCTTTATTCTTTGCTGTTCTTAAAGTTACATTAAATTTGAAACCAATCGTGATATATATTGAACATACTATGATATTCAGAATTAACAGGATACTTCTGCGATGGTGTACAGTGCTATTTAAAATATCGATTCTACATATTTAAGAAATCGCAAGAGTCAATTTAAGATGGATGTGAAGAATAAATATATATATTATATATCTTTTTTAGGATGAGGACGAGTGGAAAGAATTTGAAGAGGAGAAAAAGGACTACAGTGGTCTAAAGATTGGACATTTGACGGTAAACGACAGTCTGGATGCGGAATCAGACGACGAAAGGGGCACTGGTGAGAACAGTTCTGACGGAGAATCCGGCGAGGGCGGCACAAAACATTCGGGACCATGGAAGAAACCGGATCTTCCACCAGAAACTCCAGAAGTACCGGCACCAGCGCCAGCACCACCCGTAGCACCACCCACGGGGGGGAGTAGTTACAAAGCGCCACATTTAAGAAATCAACCTACCTTCACTAGTCCACGACCACGAGGAAGGAATGTCGCGCCTGATATACATAGTGAAGAATATTTTCCCACCCTGAATTCCAAGCCCCAGCAAAGTAACGGCAGCAATCCATGGGCAGAAAGTAAGATTCAAATTTAATATAATATTTTATAATATAATATATAATATAATATTATTAATTAAAATTAATTAAAATTAATGAAATATATAATATAATATATAATATTTATATTATATTATAATATATAATATTTCATTAATTTTAATTAATAATATTATATATTATATTATGAAATATTATATTATATTTAATTAATAATATTATATTATATATTATATTATAATATATAATATAACATTTCATTAATTTTCAACTTTAAAGGTGCAGAAGTAATAAAGATTATGAAGCAGTTAAATAAATTCTTTTTGAATTGTTTTTATAATTAAACAAAGAATAGTTTAAACAAATAGAAAATATTATTTTAATTGAATAGAAATAAGAATTTATTTGTAAAAAATGCATGGGTCTCTAAAAATACAATTGAGTGCCAATTGAAAACCTCCCGCATTAAGATTGCTTTAATATTAGACTAAACACTTCCCTAAACTCATATTAAAAGAGTAATTAATTGATCCAGAATTTTATTTTAGAATCGCTCCAAAATTACATTTATATTTATTAATTAAAGTAATATATTAATTATTTAATTTCTTTATACTTATCTTTTTATGTTATCTGTTGATAAGAAAAGAAATATTGTCAATCTTGGTTGATAAAGTCTTCTTATATTTGATGGATAGAAATAGGAAATATTAAAAAGTCAAAAAATTAAAATCTATTACTATATATAATTATAAAAATTAAATCCATAAATATCATTAAGAATCAAATAAATATTTCAAAAATTTACACATTATATAGATTGCCAATTACTTTTAAGGGATTAAAAATATATTTACAAAGTGTGTAGAGAAATGTATATTATATACATTTTTAATTATTTAGACGGCGAGACGAGGGAACGTTCGAGGAAGTTGTTCGCAATCGAGGAAGCAGCAGGTCGCACAACGTGCCAGAGTCTCAAGTCCAAGTGCCCAAACTTTCCCTGGGCAACAAGTACGGCGCTCTGTCGCAAGATCAAAGCTGAAAACACCGATCAAATCAAAAAACATCACATCAATATCGCATCGTCGCTCTTTTCTGTTTCGTGATCCAACCTCGCCGAGAAAATATATTTTCTAGACTAGGACCACATACCCCTAGTGTATATTACAGTACACATATACACATACTCTGGAGCCGTTATGAGACTCGGGTATGCTAATTTTGGTTCTTGTCGGCGATTTTCTCAAGTGATCGTGCGACGTATCATCGGTCTTAGGTATTTGCACGTGCGCTCATGGACCTTGTAATAATAATTCGAAACGAATATCGTGCGTGTGCGCCAGTTTATTTTCATACCGTATAGACACGTGGGTTGGAAATCGACTTTGATATTTCATTTTTTAATCAGCATAGTGTATAGTACATTGCTTCCAGAAAAGAAAAATGTCAGAATGTGCGGAAGAATGTGTTCGAATCCTCGAAACGTGCTCGAATCCTCAAAACGTCAGATTGGAGTAACATTGTATACGCGTCATTGTTATGCGCAGATTTTATAATCTGAAAAATATTCATTAAAGTATTTTACGTGGTATTTGCACTTACTTTCATATAATGCTACTTTTAATTTAGCGTATATACTGCCACGATCGATGCCTTCTCATTGTCGGTATAGATAGAACAGATCGCGTTGAACATGATAAATTTCGAAGACGGCATAACAATGTCGCGATAACGACATCCACGCGATTAATTTTAGCCGCTCTGTGAAAATATTATTCTTCAAATAGGCTCGAAAGATCGCGAGATAAATCTTGAGCCCTCTTTTTCTCCGCTTTTGAGAAAGAGTAATGCTTCGCTCAAAATGGCAACGTATCTCAACGAACGAAAAATTCTAGGTAAAAAATTATAATTAAGATATATATATATATATATATATATATATATATATAATATATATATATATTATATATTATTTAATTTAATATATATATACATATATGTGTGTATTAATATATATATATATATATGTATATATATATTATTAATCGAACTTTTTGCGGGGCTTTGGAACGGCGCAAAAACATAAATTAATATATATATACATTTAATAATATATATATATATATATAATATATATATATATATATACATATATATATGTTTATTAATATATATATATATATATATATATATATTTATATATATATTATTAATCGAACTTTTTGCGGGGCTTTGGAACGGCGCAAAAACATAAATTAATATATATATACATTTAATATATATATATACATTTATATATATATATACATATAATATATATATACATATATATATGTTTATTAATATATATATATATATATATATATTTATATATATATTATTAATCGAACTTTTTGCGGGGCTGGGCTTTGGAACGGCGCAAAAACATAAATTAATATATATATACATTTAATATATATATATATACATATATATATATATACATATATATATGTTTATTATATATATATATATTATTAATCGAACTTTTTGCGGGGCTGGGCTTTGAAACGGCGCAAAAACATAAAGATAAGAACGAAATAACACGAATGCAACTTGAGTGAGAATAGCAAACTGCGAAGGACAAAATAGTGCAAAGCACCAGCAAACGGTGTTGTATACAAAAATATCGCAATGGTATTGTATACAAAAGAAAGGAGAAAGACACATATATACCATACATTGTGTTAAATATATAAAGAAAATCTTATGTACATCTTTGTTGACAATTGTATAATTCTCTTTTTGTTGAGCTAAAAGTTTCTTTCTCGAGACGAAGAGTGCGGCAAAGGTAAATGCCGAATCCGTTTCTTGGAAGACGGTTTCTCGTTATTGGCGGATCCTTCCCGGCGGAGTTGACGCGTGTTGTTTTCTCAAGACACGATGAGAGGAATGCCATACGGAAACGATAGATTAATAATAAGAATTCTTGTATAGCGTAATAAAATGTGATTATTTATAAATAAATTTCTTAGGATAATTCGTACGTACTGCCTTTGAGCATTTTTAATTTACCGCACCGTATATCATCGATCAATCAATTTAATTGAAGGGAAAAAATAAGCAATCATGTAATTCGCGAGGACCTCAGCCGACCGTCTTTCCGAGAACATCCGTCGAAAGAAACACGTCGGTTTTGAATAAACAGCGTCAAAAGATATTTAACTTGAGCATGTAGCGGAGATGCAGCATCGGTGCCTCTCGAGGAGTAATTTTAAAATAATTTTGGCCGCCGCGGAGGACTAGCCTGCTCTTTGTTACAGAATAGTTGAAATACACACTAATTTTATCGCTACTGTTATACATGAGAGCGAGCGGTGGAATGACAGGAAGTGAGAGTGCGCGAAAGTATGAGGTGCGAGCATACGTGGCATATTTAATAAAACTCGATCATCAAGATATATTGGTTGCCACTTTTTTCTGTTCCTTCATTTATAAAATCCTATTTGTCAACATTATTTAATTTTTTTAATCTGGAAGACGATATGAATATATTATACGTTAATAAAATAATTATAAAATAGAAAATATATATACATGCGTATAAATTATTTTTATCTAATAGACTTAGGAAAAAGTAGTTATATATATATATATATTTATATTGAGAGAGAGAGAGAGAGAGAGAAGAAAAATATATTTTTTACATATTATATGTGCATGGGCTGGAGAAAAATGCTCTTACGATAGTTAATTTTAAAATATCATAATAGTGTGTGTGCAATATCAAACAACCTTTATTTTCACTCAATTTTCTGCACATTCTCACTTTCTCAGATCACTTAATCGCAAGAATTTTAATAGTATCGTAGGAGAGCATATTCGTCATCTTGCATACCAGATGAAGTGTTCAAAGAACATCATTAAGATTCGACGAGTCCTCAGCGCTGCAAAGAGACAAAAACCGCCGGCAATGATTTATTCCACCTCCTTTCTGTGATCATAGGATCTATCGCGAACATACTTCTCACAATATTTCAATCCATGATTTCCATTATTACTATAAGATGCGTACATGGGACTATCTAGTAAGGAGGACCTGTATCTCGGCAGAAAATATATCCAGGTTTTTGTCAACTCGCCAGCCTGAAAAAGAAGTATAAATTCATATTAAAAGAAAAATTTAAATAAGGAAAAATATCATTGCGTCTTGCGTATTTAATATTTAAAGAAACTCAAACAAGAAGATGGAGAAGAGAGGATAATCGAGATGATTATTCAGCTTCACGACGTTTCGACCATGTGATTGTGGTCGAGAAAGTGTCAAGTGAAACACTAAAATATTTTATTACATAAATAATTATTAAAGTATATCAAAAAAATTTTTCAGATCAACATATCAATAAAAACTAAAAACCATACTTATAAAAGAATTTAATTAAAGTTAACACATTATTATATAAATTTTGTCAGTCACATTTCTTAAAACTATATAAATCAATAAAACAAAACGAAACATTAAAGATCATAACCCGTCGAAGGATCGTCAGATTCTTTTTAAAAAGAATATTTACACGACTTTAATTATTTTGTTATAAACCTCGTTAAGATTCTCCGTGATCTGTGAGTTAATGTTGTTTTTAAATTTTTTAATATAGAACATTTCGGCTAACCCTCTCTTCCTTAAGTGTTTTTTCGTATGTAAAATGTTAAATTTATTCCAATCAAAATCATGTTCAAATTCAGATCAGTGTTTGCTTATAACTTTAATAATAATAAGGTTTTTTGGTCAATTTAGAATATGGATTCTTTTTTAACAAATGTTACACTAATAATTTTCTAATTATAAGTAATCAAAAGACTTTTTCAAGAGAATTTTTACTAAACTTCGAAAAAAGACAAAATAATAAAATTATATATTTAAAATTTTTAATTCTTTTAATAGAATTTCAATTACAAAATTAAAGATATATCAATTATAAAAAATGTATCAACTATAAAAATTTACAAAACTATATGATTCATAAAATTAGAAAGTTGCAACAAATGACAACTTTCTTCAATATTTTTGATAAGAAAAAAAATTGACTATAAATCGATAATAGAATATATCTCATTAAAAAATACTTATTTATAGAACACTATATATACACTTATTAAATTACCTCTTCGAAAGTTTTTCCAGACTTGAACATAGATTCTGGTATTAATAAGACTTCTTCTTCGGTTCTCTCGTAAAATGTGGGATGCTCCTCTAATTCATCCAATTTCTTTAGCATTTTAGAGTCCACATCATATATTTCTCCAAGTACGAGCTGCTTATTCGAAACAACAATGTATATGTAATTTCATTGCAATAATATTATTATACATAAATAAAAGATTAAATCTTTAGTGAAATATTTCGTCATTAAATTGATTGCGGTTGCTCGTATTGATTTTTTTATTGAATAATTATTATTAAAAAACAATAAAAATAAATTTCATTAATTAAATTACATTAATTATAAATTCTTAAAAATTCTTTCAATTATATTTTTCATTCTTTAAGACTTGTAATTTTAATGTTGCGTAAGGCATTAATTATTTTTTCCACTCACATTGCCGACGTCAGATTTCTTCAGCAGGAAGGGGATGTTATATTTCGTAGCTATCACCAAAGGATACGAGACTGTCGTTCTGCCGACGCCCAGAAATTTTGCGTAACCATTCGCAGCATCCTTAATAAGACCGTGATTCGGCTCGCCTCGTTTTAACGTGCCATACACAAATACACGGTGCAACGGGCTCTTGAACAGGTTTTCATACATGTCGGAAATCGCGGGTTGTCTCACACGTGACTTGCGGCCAATGATCACAGTGACATCGCAGCCGGATGATAATCAACAAATTTTATTATCACGCGTTACCTTATGCGGCATTTACGTCACAATCTAATCTAGAGATCGTATAAAAATTGCTATCAAGTTTAGTGTATATTTAGAATGACCTTCCGAGGGGATTGGAATGTCGCGAAAAAATGCAACGAAATGATCCAACTTCCTCTTTAAACTCCGCGTTTAAAGAGCGCGTGCACGAGATATGATCGTCTTCTAGTAAAACGAAATGGAGAACGATAGAAAACTTGACACGGTAACTATCACGTGTAAACTGACTGAAACTCACTGAATGTTAACACCAGATGTCAGTAATGTCAATTGGCGCGATTATTCAGAAGATCTTGTCAGTCGCATATGTGCAGAAACACGCAAAAAGTATAAATAATATCTTATAATTGTATTTCTCACGTCTATTCACATCTTTCAAATTTATTTTTATCCTTAGTTTATACTCAGATATAAATTTCATATACAAATATAAAAATATAAAATTAAAAATAAAAAGTAAACGAGAAATTATACCAGTAATTATTCTAATTTTAATGGCGTGATCAAAAAACGAGGAAAAGTTGTTAATTTTTAACTGGTCAAATCGATTACAATGTAAATTTGGGAAACAATTTTTGGCATTACGAAAATGTAATGTGTTACTATCCCAGGTAGCGAGCATATCATTTTGACATGGAATGACGTCATTAAACGTCAAAATAACGTCATTTTGACATTTAATGACGTCAGTTTGCTACTTGGGTTTATTTCCATTTCATGAATGAAAACGTTCACGTAATTCACTTATTACCTGGATCAATGGGAGATCTACAATCTGTTCCGGAAAAGAGTAAAAGGAATCCAATTCAATAATGGCAATGTTAAAGAGCACAGTAACGGCGGCGACGTGCAGCAACATTTTCACGAAATGTAATAATTGAAATGGCAATGCGGTCAGTTCGAGTTCGTGTGCATCGGATGTAGAGAGGGCATCATGCGTGGTATGATAAGATAAGATTTTCGTCCAATAAAATTTCCGAACAATTGCACTATCGTTGGTCACAGCATTTCACGTGACAATAACTTCAAAATCTAAATATGTAGACTCTGTAGAAAATATAGAAGAATTAATTAGTTCTTAGTTTTCGATACCACAATTTACAAATTAAAAAGAAAATTTTAAAAGCGTAAAGAATTTAAAAAAATAATTAAAAAGAATAATAATTATACACTGATTCTGCTCCGCAAGATTTCACTTTCTACCGGCACGAAAGCCTTCAAATCTTCATCTGGAATTACTTGAGTTTCTTGTCTTCTGCAACGTAACAGTTCCTGGAACGTTGTCCAGTCTTCATTCTTTGAGATATCATTACCCTATAATGTAAAAAAAAACTGAAAAAATAATATATATCGAGAAACATTTTTTTCTATCGACAATTTTGCGCAAATAATTACCTCCAAAAATACGTATAGTAATCCTCTACTGTAATCATTTAATAGCACATAATTCTGATAATACAAACACGATATCAATTTCTTCAATGTCTTATTTGTCAAACGATTGACTAGCCGCAAAAAAACATATTCAGTCATAAATATATGAATTGGAACTTATCAAAAATTTGATGTATAATATAAAAGACATACAACTTAAACTCAAATGTTGCAATTCTAAATTTCCGCTCGCCAACACTGATCCACTTTTTGCCATAGTTTCCCTTGTAAATGGGTGACTAATATTGTTATCTAAAAATCTTTCTGAAATCTGTGAAATTTATATTTTATATATTCTTATTCCTATTTCAATAATTTCTGATTAAAAAATTAATAAAATACTGATCAAAATTACTTGAATGGAATTGTCAGATATCGATGAAGAATTTGTTTGTATTTTCTTCTTTGACGAGTTGTCGCGACGATTCGTTGCATCTTAAAGATGACACTATCATGAAATGAATTTTTCAGACAATTGGAAAATATTAAACGTACTTTTTTTAGAATTCTGAATTAAATTCTGATGCTGCATTGTTTTATTTATCTTCCGCGAAGTTTCTTGAATAGTTCCGTTATCCACCTATATAATTACAATCTTTTATTTAGGACATTCATTTGAACAAAATAATACGAAAGATAATCTATCAACCTTGCTCTCTAGCTCGAGAAATCTGCGACGTCGAAGATCGACGACTTCTTCGTGGGTCAAAGGGGACCTATCGTGTTATATTATTATTATTAAAGATAGCAGCCTAAACCGAAAATATTTAATTTATTCGCTTTTATCGCTTTTATTATTAAAAATACATGCAAAGTTCCTGGATTATCAGCAAGGCTCCGTCATCTTGTATCTTGTTTCCTGTCAAGACGATGCTTTGTAGAGATCTATGAATATTAACAAACATTACGTTTCATTAAATATTTTTGACTCGAAAAAAAATTAAATTAATTTAATTCTTAAGTTAAAATTAATAATCAACTATTACCGATTAGTTCGCAACATCGCAGAGATATATTCGGCACCGATGTCTGTAATATCATTATCCGCCACATTAAGAGCAATTAATTTTGAATTATTTGGCAAGTCCCAGAATTTCAATTCTTCTGCGATCTTTTGTATACCTTTATCGGATAACTTACACATCTTCAAAGATAAATAGCGCAAACTACATAACGGAAATTTTCCAAATTAAATTAAATTCGTCGCAATAGTATTTATTTATATGCATTGTATGATGTACTTTGTAGCTGGTGTGCAAAGTAAAAAATAATTCTCTTGCACATTCGAATTGTTATCCAGATTTATATCAATTAGACATTTTAATTCCGTCAGCATCTTTGCTATTTGCATGACGCCATAAGCATTTATTTGACAGTTGGGCAATCTGAAATGATGTAATTATTATGTATTACATATATATGGTATGTTAAGTTATAACATTCTACAATTTCTGTTACTTGAGCACTGTAATAGTGTTATATTTCTGCAACGTAGTACTCAGTGCATCCAGAATGCAAATCGATACTTCCTGTCGTGTAATATGAAAAAAATGCATATATACAAAGTGTATCGCAAACATATAAGTGTAAATATCAATAACTAAACGTGATAATTAAACATTAATATATATTTTCATGATTCTTATCTTTACACTCCAGCTTCTTTATGTTTTCCATTCGTTTAGGATTTTCGAAAAAAACATAGAAGATCGGAATATCTTCCTCCAATTTGACTCTAAATAAATCATGAATTTAAAAACAGAACAAAAATTTTAATCATAATCAAAATACCTCTCTGATTCAAACTTTGTATATTCTGTGCCATTCTTTATCTGCAAAAACATAATGTTTGAAATTAATAATAATATGCATAAAATAATATAATAACATATCTGTGAAGATTTACTAGAAAACTAGGGAAAGGTTCTTCTTCATATTCCTCGCAATGCCTTAAAAATTCGGTAATAAAATTTTCTTGAGACATTCTTCCTGAGTGATCTGTCGCAACAAATAATATTAACAAAAATCTATTCACTTATCTTAATAATTATACACATGTCATATTTCTTTTTCTCTTCTAAATAATTTTAATGTAAAATACATTAATAACCATTTATCGAAGGTGCTTTATCTCTCACCGATAAAGCGTATTTTCTTTTAATGTCTGTCATCTTTGATTTAACCTTTTGCTTATTTTATAGCAACTTCGAGAGAAACAAATGAGAAAAAGTTGATAAATACAAATATATTAATTTTTTCAATTATATAAAAAATTAATTATATAAAAAATATGCTTCTTTCTCTATATATTTAATATTTATACAAAAAAAAAGATGAAAGATTTGTATACTTGGAATTATCGTGTCAACGTTATTAGATATTTTCGATTTCTTTTTATGTACGTCGTAAATTCGTCGATCTGGCGCCTCTATCGGGCACCTCCGCTGTGAACAAAATGTAATCTGATGTTTTGAAAATATAGGGGTGACCAACCCCTACAACCATGCATAACCGAGGGTGCGAGGAAAAGCCTTCGGGAAAGTATCGAGCGAACTTTTGTGAATGCGTGCTGCATGGTGCAATATAGAAGGCAGAGAGCATCGAGTGGCGATAAAGGTCAGCCGTGGGGCTTTCTAGGGATTAAAGTCTGTAATTACGGAGCTACAGAGACGATTACCGAAATGATTTGTGTCGATCTTAACGGCGCCACAAACGACCGTCGTAAAGCCCCAGGCTCGATCGATGACACATCGTACGAGAAGCGAACAGTTGTGTCTTAAATGGATGGCGAGCGCAGCAAGAATACTCAATCAAGGAGATAAAATTAAAATTATAAACATCTCTCTACGAGAAATAGAGATTCGTAATTTATTCGCTATTACATCATGAAATATACGATTAAAAAATTATTCTATGTAATAATTATACATTGATAATCCATCGATTTTTCAATTACATTTCTACTCTTTTAATATATTAATGTATTGTCCAAGTAGGTAATTGAACAAACAGAGATTACACATACATTGTTGTGTAATAATAATTACGAATAATTCCAAGAATATTGATTATACTGGATGTATCTAAATAAGTGCGAAAATTTTAAGAGATAATTCTTTATCGAAAATTATAAGAGGGGTTTCTTATATACTCTTATATCCCTCTTTGAGGAGTGACACTTTTCTAAAAAGGAATGTAAAAATAATTTTTTTTTCTCAAATTCCAGACAAATTAGAAAAATTAAACGGAAAATATCCACCAAGTTTCATTTTTTAATTCATCTGAAATTAAAAAAAAAATAAAGACTTAACTTTTACCCTAAAAATGATCTTGTTCTTCGATCGACAAGATATTATAATAAATATTAATTAGTCTTTTTGTTCGCGTGTATGATTTATCGTGAAAATAAAACTCAATTCTGCTCTTGCTTCTATACGGCGGCATGACAAGTTCGTGTCTCGTTATAATGCCCCTTCGCCCGCCGAACGACGCGCGTTCTTCAGTCGTGCTTTGCGCGTCCAGCGAGCCGCACGCGAGTTGGGTTGTTCGCGCTTCTATCCTCGAGATTAGGCACGATCGGTGACAAATTGTGCGCGTTCTGTCAAAATAGTGACTTTCACTTCAATTCTAAGTATTCAAATTAAATCATCGCTTATCAATGAGACGTCGATTTTGCTGCGAAACATTTCTGAACTAAAAGCAGAAGAGGAGTGACGAAAGGTAAATCACTACTACACTATTAATTATCGCAATAATTCTTTAATTTTCTCTAATTTAATTTTTAATCGGTCTTTCGCAGCTTTCAATTGCTTTGAAAGAATTGATGTGTTTATCTATGGTTGTAATTATTTTATATACAAGCTCCTCTTTCTCCTTTTTATAATAATTAGTAGTATTGATAGAAAATAAAAATTTGTGATTACGTCCATTTGTTTCGAAAGAAATTCCAACGAATATTTCGACGATGGTGTAAAAGAGTTTATATCGCGTAAATTTTTGCACGCGAATGTTCCGCACTTTTTTGCATTTGCGAGTGCATCCCTCACCGATTGCATTAATTTACGGGTGTTTACATCACGATGTCAAGGCGCGCCGTAATCACACACGGACACGATATTATGAATTATGCATCTTAGGGTGGTTTCAAATTTCTTCCCGGGTCGTTTCGATCCTTACACAAAAAGACGGCTCGCTGCACACTTGCAGTCGTTAATATTAATTTTAAGCGACGCATAATCGCGCTAAATTGGTACAAATTACGACATAATGTAGACACGCTCGTCATCAATTAGACTGCATTGCTTCGCTTCGTATCGCGAATCAATAAACAGATTCTTTTCTATTTTTTATTATTCTTTAAGACACTTTTTCTATTTATTTCAGAGATTGCGTGTACTTGATGAATGACGGAAAAATAACAAGCGATAATGAAAATTAATTGGCAGTCCTAATTATGATTTAGAGCGTTCGGCAAGTTCTGCGCGTTGTAAGCAATTTGAACTTCCTCGTCGGTCAGTGAAATGAAATAGCTATGAAATGTTTCGAATGTCACTGCATTCTGTTTATGCAAGAAAATCCTTCGCATTATTCGCCTAGAATGGAAAATGTTTTATTTACATTCACATTATGTGAATGATTATCCCAGATAGCACCATGTCTAAAATGCACGCATAAGTCATCATTAAGAAATCTTTAAGATATCTTTAAGAAATCTTATGATATGATATCCCAAAGACATCTTTAAGAAATCTTATGATATGATATCCCAAAGACATCTTTAAGAAATCTTATGATATGATATCCCAAAGACATCTTGAAAACATCTTAAAAATGTCTTATGGGTGCACTTTGGACATGGTGCTATCTGGGATGTGACTCCAAAATTATATAGGAGAAAATAGTCGCTATAAAATATTTTATTATATTTTATTTAAGATCGCAAGCACGAAAATAAAGAAAAGAGAAAGAGTAATTGAGAAAATGTGTATCTTACTCGGCAATTTTTCAGCACAAACTTTCATTGTGCAATTCTGTCCATATACTTAAATGATAATTTTTTGCGCCGCGTATACGGTAAAGCGCAAAAACTCAGGGAGATCTTTCGAGATTAAATCGTATTTCTCCAGATGTTGCTGATGCACTCGGTGCAGCTGGTCGACCGCTTGTTACAATCGCGCTCACTTGTAAATTCACCTTATTCCTCTTTTTCTCCATACGGAAGAAGGCTGGCTTGCTTTTTTTTTTTCACTGCGTAAGGAATGCGGGCGACTCGTGTCTGGAGAACGACTCGATGAACAAAGGGGGTTCCCCGTGCTTTTGGTGTGGGACCTTCCGGACCCTTTTTCTTTTCGGCTTTCAAGTGGGTCAGAGTTGGATGAACGAGACACGCGAAGAACGAAGAAGGAACTTTGAGAAGGAACTTTGAGAAGGAAAAGAGACATTAGATAGACTTAGGCTAGAGTGTAGAAAAAAATTGAAGAAGAATGTAACGAACTAAGAGACAGATAAAAGGCATTATAGTCTTCTCAATGCCCCGAAAAATGTGATGAACGATCGTTGAAAGCATCGGTTCATTCCGGAAAATGTGATCATAAATTTGACTATCTCTAACAAGAAATTCTTTTTATTTTCTTTGAGCGTTAAAGACGCGGAATAGGTTCTCACGGATGTCTCGCGTCTACTTTATTAGGAAATCCACTCTTCTCTTTCTCTAAAGAACTCTTTTTCACGGAGTAATGTCACGTATAGACGTGCATTATTTAAGACGAATAATCCGTGAATAGCAATTAAAATGCGTCGCGTGTCATTTCACGCAAATGCACGAGTCTACCGAACATGTGATAGCCTGAGAGCAAGCAGAAGAATGAATTGAAGAATATAATATAGTAGTGACTGTCAAATCGAATCGGTTTATTCTCTCTTCCAAATAAAAAGTAAATAATATATATATATATATATATATAAAAGAATTTAAAAAATCCGAAAAAGATATATTTCGTCCAAAAGAAATGACAAAATTAAAGAAAAGATGAAAGTGTCAAACTCTAAAATAACAATTTCGCCATTACAATTTTTTATTCGATTAAAAGAGGAAAATGTTCCTCTTATTCGAATAAATAATCTTATTGCAATTACGGAAAAATAGACTTTGCAAAATGACACCTTAGCATCGAACGATCCACCGCACGACGTATATCGTTCATCAGAAATTTGTCACTCTTTCGCAATCAAGTCGAACGGAAGTGGTAGTAACCCACAAAAGGACAAGCGGTCAAATCGTTTTACATTCCGTGGGTGTTTTCTCTCGTCTCTCGCATGCACACATTCCCTTCTTCTCTGTTTCCCTCCTCCCACTCTCTTGTGTCAGTCGTTCTTCTCTCTGTGTCTATTGCTCCTATCTTTTCCTTTCTTCCTGGCCTTCTCTCCGGCTGGGTTCGAGACCGGCATAGCCAGTCGCTGTGTCATCGAGGCCTGATACATCATAAATATAAATTGGCCGAGCACTCGCGCGTGTGCGCGCATAAATGAAGCCGCGTAAGTGCGTGAGTGCGTGAGTGCGTGCGTGCAAACCCCCGGCAACGTTAGAGAATGTTAATGTTTATCCGGCAGCGATGCTCGCCAAAAATGATAAACAAATCGCGCCGAGAAGTTTTGCATTAACACGGCCCCCTTCCCGTACGTAAACACGAGAATTTAACAGGAGGAGTAGCCGCAAAGTCACGGCAATTTACCGCGAGAAACCGGTCTCTCTCTCTCAATCTCTCTTTCTTTGGTAAGAAAAGAATGTGTAAGTTATTACAAATTTTTAAAAACTCGCCAACTTTGTGAACAAGTAACAATATGCGATACTATTGCTGAAAAATGTTTGGCAAGATTTATCTTTCGCTCTCGCGTGGTTGCAGAATTAATAGCATCATTCTAAGTGCATCGAAATAAGACTGCGTGAACATCAAGAGCGCGGAAATAATCTCAATTTCGAGCAACCGCGATGATTAGCGGCGTTCGCGGAATCGCCTGTTAGTTTGCTCGTTTTAGTTGCATTAGACTTCCCGTATATGCATTTTGTTCCTTGTTTCGTTCTCTCTTCAGAGAACCTGAACACATATCTATTTTATTTGAAACGTGGAGAGCGCAAGAGGAAACGCGACTAAAACGACTAGAACCTAATCGTATGCTGGCCTTGCGGCCAGCCTTCGGCGATTAGTTCGTTCAGGAATATATATGCACGCAGATGCAGGCGGCAAATGTGCAACTTCCGAGAGGATCGAGATAAACTCGTTAATGGCGTTTGTATTTATTTATCCGCAAGTGCCATCGCGAACTCGCGCCGGATCCAACACTGAAAAAACAAATTTATTGATTTCAAAGAAATACTATAGGTATTTATTTAAATAGTAGGTACCATTAACATCATTTTTTAAATAGTACCATTGAATCTACTCATATTAATTTGCAGTGAAAAAAATACTTATTTGATGTAAGAAATCCTCTTTTAAAATAGATAAATATTTATTTATTTCAAACAAATGTGTGAATGGTGCTATTTAAATAAATATTTATTTAAAATCAATAGGTTTTTTTCAGTGAACGAATCATTTTCAGCGCGTATCTAATTCAAATAACACATACTTATGTCAATGATGATTTATAAAACTAACGGAACATGTACAAAATGTTTCTGATTTATTGAGAAATGTCCACTCGATTTCACACACGAGCTTTTTTCTCCTAATGATAATTATTTATATATCATAATAACAACATTATACATATTTTATGTATGCAATATATAATAAAAATATTTTATATCTCACATAATGTAATAACTTACAAGCATTGACTTACGAATATAACGTATTACCGCCATAATCAGAATTATCGTAATTAAGTGCGGAGACTCTACAACACACAGTTCGTAACGACGGTTATCTTAATTGCTGGGTGTTCAACGTGAGAGCACCGTTAGGTTGTTGTCGTTCCTTAATTATCCTATCGTTCTGCTAGAACCAAGGAAGGCTCACATCGCTGCGTTATCACACAGCACGGTTCGCTCGTAAATAACTTTTCATCGAACTCAGAATCGGAAATAATTCCTCATGAGCATCGCACACTTCCTGTTGATCAAGTTCTGGTATCTATCAATTATATCATTCAATAAAAATTCTTTTGATTTTTTGTCGAAAATATGGCATGCAATGTCTTTGTTTTTACATTAGAATCATATATGTCTTTAAGTTTTAAGAATGATATAATAATATAGCTTTATAAGATTGTTTTTTTATTGTATTATTATATAGAGTGTATCTAAATAAGTGCGAAAAATTTTAGGAGATGAAAAATAAGCAAGCTTTGTCGAAAAATAAGCAAGGTTTCTTAAATAAACATATACTCTTATATCTCTCCCTGAAGAGTTACATTTTTCTAAAGAGAGATAAAAGTTTATTTTTTGTTTTTTTCTCAAATTTCAGACAAATTAAAAAAGTAAAACTTGATGGATATTTTCCACTAATAAAAAGGATATTTATTAATATTTTTTTTATCTCCCTGTATCGTTATAAGGGAAAGATGAAACTAACAACCCCTATTTAATTTTTTCTATATATTTATATAAAAAATCCCCCTTAATTTTCGACAAAGAATCGTCTTCTAAAATGTTTTGCACTTATTTAGATACACCCTGTATAATTATATATCGCGTGAGATATTATAATTAATTTATATTGCAATGTGTATTACCTTATACTCTTAATTTCCTGCTATATTTTCTACTTGAGCACATTTCTTGAAATATCCAACAATAATCAGCTGATCATAATTGACTTGTTCTGATTATTATGATGATTCAACAATTCGAATATTAATTTAATTTTCGCTGGATTTTCTGATAATCACAAATTTCTCGATCGCAAATTTAGTAAGGTTTCAGGGTTGTTTCCCGATCGTTTAAAAAAAAATCGCTTTAGGAATCGAGATAAATCACTACGGATTAAAATCGATGGTGTAAGCGAGACACGATAAAGTTAAAGAGAAGAAAAAGAAATTAATCTCTTTCTCTCTCTCTTCTCCTTTTCTTTTTCTTTCTTTCCCTATCTTCTTGCAGACTGGATCTCGAAAAGGGCGAAGAGGAAAGATGAAAACAAGACATGCGAGATGCAAGGAAGCACCTGTCTAACAGCTGCTTCGCATATGGCGTTAGTATAATACACTCGCGAGATTATGTAAGAAGAGTAGGTGTCTTGTTTTTAGATATGGCTGTAGACGGAGGTTTTTAAAAAATAATTAAGACGATCCGCGTCGCGTTAATTGACAGATTTTTTAAAAGGAATCTCTCAGTCAGAAAGATGACACGGTTTCCTCTACGGAATAAGATTTTAATATCCTTCAAATTCTGCCTTGAATGCGGGCAGAATCATTCGATTTTGTCAAATAGATTTGTACCCGCAAAGGATTATATAACAATATATTTAATCCTATTGTGGCCGCGTCTGTGGGTGGCATCTGAATTTCTCATTTGGCTCACGCATCTTCGCGGAATGCAATATTCTCCCTCTTCTTTTCCAGCCGTTCAGCAGACGCCCCGACCATTAGTCATCCGCAAATGGGTCCTCTGTCCGGTAACTCATGGTCGAAAAATCGTAACTCAGCGGAGAATACTAATAATTTCCTTGTAAATCTAAATCCAGCGCTCGATTTCGCGATAATAAATCTGTCCCCTTTCCAGACTGCGAAAACACATTCGCGGATTAAAGGAAAAATGTTTAACTTGCGCAGCAGCTCCAAAATTCTACAGGCGAATAAATAAAAGATAAAGACAATGAAAATAATAATGGCGAAAAGCAAGAAGCCAAAAAGATCGTTTTTCTCGCGTCGAGAGACCTCGGTACAAGTTTGAGGATTAATTCACGACGGTGGCTCGCGGCTTCTCGGAGAAAGGGGCCAGCTCACGGGGACCATATCGCATTATGAGAAGGCGTGGCAGAGCTTACGTACCAATGAAGTCGGCAATTAAAATGAAAGGGAAAAAAGCCGCAGCTGTGTCTGTCTATTCGCGCAGACAGCAGCAGTCGCGTTTATCTCTCCCTGTCCGCTCGAATCCCATAGATTTAGATTGTCAATTTAACTATGGCTCATTAATTCCCGATATCATGCGCGAGAACAGACCACTGTGGAACGTCGAAACAAAGAGCCAAGCAGGATGGAAAATCGTTTCAGTAGAAACGATAACCATCTCTCTCTTGGTAACGTGACAGCCAGGGGGTGGAATCAATTACAATAATTATGCTTAATTAATGGTCAATCTGGGCAAAGCAGAAAGTTGCTACATTATCGCATTGTTGTCCGATAAGAATAATTTATCGTTAAATAAACTGGCCGTCGAACGAAAGAGAAATAAATGATAGAAAACACAAATCTGGCTTTAAAAAAACGTTTTCTTAAGACACCCTTCATAATACGTCAACGTCGTCTCTTGTCAGGATTCATTATTGTGCCGGATCCGAGAGAGTGCAAATATAAACAGCGATTAGGGTGTGATCCTAAGTAAACATACTTTCTGAAGTGGTCGCGAGTCGCAGACAAGAAATGACGAAAATAAAAGTGACAACTGTACTAAGTGCGATAAATTTTCTTCAATCTTATGCAAGTATTGTCGCTTTAACAGCCTATAATAGTGAAATTTATTTACATTTAATTTTCAAAATTAAAAAATAAATGTAAATAAATACGAATTATTGGTCGATATAAATCTATAAATTCAAGAATGTGGAGTTGTTCGAAATATTCCAAAAATATTATCGAGTTATTAAAATTCATTTTAATTCATTCAAGATGAGCATATATTATATTTTAGCTCGTTGATTCGCCTCGTTGCCGGTAAGATCAAAGTAATGCTCTTCAATTGGCGGTAAGAGGACAAGGGCGATTAAGTTTGCGGGTTTGAAGAGTACTATAAGAATCTCAAGAGAGGTCTCATGCAACACGTGTGGTGTAAAAGTGAAAAGACACCGCTCTCACAAACACGAAAAGACAGAGCGAAGCTATTCCGACTGAAAGCTAACTCAGATGAAGATTACTCCGGATTAATCCACTTCTAATGTTCACTTTTTCTTGATAAAAAAAAGACATTATCATCAAAGATAAGTTGAAACGCTTAACGATGTCTCAATCTCTCACGACAAAATTATCAAGACACTTTTTATTCCCTTTGACAAGGAATGCTTCGCATGAAAAAAATGTTAAGATCATTCTAAGGTCTAATTGAGATTCTGAATAAAAAATGTGATTTTAATTTACATAATTTTGATTATAAAGAGTATACGCGCGAGATATTTCCACTCCATCCTCAGAAAGGGACCATGAGAGTCTAGTCCCAGAGTCAATCACGATGTCTTACGGTATTCATTCGTCCAAGATTTCACTGGAACGAGTACCGTGAATCAAATCCACGGATCATTCCAGTGTCCGACGAGCGGGAGGTCTCGTGCCCTTTCACGATTTCCGTGAAATCAGAATAAAGAGTTAGAACTCTGTGTTATAGTCGCCGTATGCTGTAACCCGAGATTTGTGTATCCTATGTTTCGGTTTTGCGGCCTCACTTTTAATACCTACCCGTGCTCGCCAGCAAAAGAGAGAACCTCGAATAACAAGACCGGCGCGCGTATTTCCTCGAAATACATGTGAAAGGCATTTATATTCCATCGCGCGGGCGGCCCGAATCCCCGAACTCGCTCATTAAACCTTTTCGAATCTCGGAGTCGAGAGCAAGAACGCGTTCGCGTTAATTGCATTCACATTTATTTTTATATTTTACCTTATTGCCATTTATTTACTTATTTATTTTTAGATTGAAAGAGTTATAGATTTAATTTTAATATTTATTTATTTTTATATTAAATATACAAAGAAATCCCAGCGTTTATTCGAAAGGAGAGCAAAAGCTTAATTTTGTTACGAATGTTAAAGGGGAGCAAATTTTCTCTCTTACTGAAGCCTATGTCAGTAATTATAAATATATCATTTTCCAACCTAATGTGTTACAAATGAAAAATTGTAAAAAATGAACGCACGTTCTCTTTCAGTGATCGAGCAATTGAAGAATATGTGACGGCATAAAACGAAAGCAGCATGTGCTATATTGTGATAGTGACTGGTCGCAGTCTGCTGTGGACGCTCTTGTCTCTGGCAGCGTTGATGGCGGTTTTATCAGGCCTCATGACTCCCAAATGGCTCATAGGACCACCGACGATTAAGGATACGAGTAAATATCTTCTTCTCAGCTAGATATCGCGCGGATGCGCGATATCGGTCATATGTATATATACAGCGTGTCCGGTAACTAACGGACCAATGATTAAGGGCGGATTCTCTGGCCAATTTGGAGACGATTTTTCCTTAGCAAAAATGTTGAGAAGTCAATAATTTTCGAGTTATAAGCGATTGAAAAAATGGGTTTTTTGAAAACTAAACGTTTTGGAGTTAAAAGTCTAACATAATTACATTCTTCAGTTTAATTTCAGGTAGAGTTTACTATAATAAAATTTTAATTTGAGGCTTAGTTATAAAGATACATAATGACAAATATTGGAAAGTTGTAAAAAATGATGACCTTTTTCGACATTTTCGCTGAGGAAAAATCGTTCCCAAATTGACCAAAGAATCCATTTGTGATCGTTGGTCCGTTAATTACCGGACACCCTGTATATAATGATATGAGACGATAAAACATTCATCGTCACAAATAAAGTATCTCTCCGTTTACTGTTAACAGACTTGAGTTATCACAATACACCTACGCTCTATCTATCGTTCCGTTGCTTGCTCACAAATTTCAGAAAACGGCACGGAAACGTACACGCCGACAGTTGGGATCTTTAATCGTTGCACGAGATTGTTCGGCAGGACGCATTGCGCGAATTTTAACGTCGACGGTTTCGCGACGGACTCCAACGTCTTTCCGGGATGCTGGAAGGCTTCCCTGTTCTTCCTGTCCGCGGGCCTGGCTGTGATGTCGGTGACCATAATGGCTGCTGTACTGGGATGCTGCGTACAGAGCATTGGCCGTAAGAGCATCTTCAATCTGGCGGGAGTGGCGCAGGCCTTCGCCGGTAATGTTGCTCTTCGAGAGAGGAGGATTGATACGATGATAAGATGATGACACCCTGACACTAAGCTTCTTAGCTCAGCGAAATAATCTTATAAATGATGAGCGATATCTTTAGCCATCACATATATCAAGAATTTTATTATATTAGGAATTGCAACGTTTTTTCTTAAACCCAGGTAAAAATCTGCCTCGATTTGGCGATATTAAATATAGGGCCTAAGTAAAAAAATCCAGTTTGAAACATCTGTCTACCAAGTCTAGAATGCATGGGTTCCAGATCGCCACTGACATATTTTTCCCAAATTAGAATATAAAACTATATATATATATATATGGGGCCAGGATTGAATAATCTAGCTTATAGAAATAATTATAATACAAATCAAGCAAATATTAAAAAAATTATAGGTCCTAGTTAGACTCCAAATAATTTTTCTACAAATTCTGGGCATAATCTTGAGCCCACCCGAATTCTACGATAGGGCCGTGCAGGAAATAACTAAATTCCATTTCTGGAATTCAGATAAAAAATCTATCTCTTTACACAGGTTTTAGTTAGATTTTTTACCTGAATTGCAGAAATATTTTTAAAAGAATAGATGGAGCCCTGATTATTTCCAGACAAAATTTCTACCTAGGAATCTTTTCTTAAAATCGCATTCTCTCACGTTACAATGTTTAGCCCAACATAAAAGGCTCGCTAGTCTTTTCTTGGAATTGCTCACAATAAGAGTCATACAAATTTTTAGAAGGCAACGATTGCTCCTTGCAGCTGGCAATTCCTCGTGCACACGTGCTTTTAGACTAACAATGGATCTCGAACACGAGTGGTGTAACTTTCATTGTAATGAAAGATTATGTCCGGAATAATCAACGAGTATATACGCAAATTAAAAAAAAAAGATATCAGATAATCGGAAAAATATACCCTTGTAATGCGTGCTCGTATAAATTATTGCGACGTTCTAGTTTGTTCTATTTTTTTTTATTTTCAGGAATACTGTACCTTTTCGGGATGATCCTGTATCCCGCCGGTTGGGGTGCCGAGAGGGTGCAGAGGATCTGCGGTCTTGAAGCTGACGCCTTTTATCTTGCTAACTGCAGTCTTGGTAAATCTGAAACCCCGAGATTTTTAATATTAAAAATTCAATGCAAATTTCAAATTTTTTACTAAATATAAATTCAATGCAAAATTTATTTCGTAGAAATTCTACGAAAATATTTCAAAGTTTAATTCTTATTTTGAAACAATTATGATGTAGTCTCGAGAAGAATAAGATACAAATATAAATTCCTACTCGAAATAAATGAAATCAAATTAAATTAATCTTAATCACATGCATGTATATATATTACTTTTGTGTGAAAAAAAAATTGAAAAGAACAATTTCTTCAGGTGGGGCCTTTTATATCGCAGCGATCGGTGTCGCTCTCACTTTCGTCTGCGCCGCTTTTAGCGGACAGGCGGAGAAGTCGACGGCCAGCGACAAGGTCCAGGACAAAATGAACGAAGGAAAGACTCTAATATGCTTAGCCTGAGCGCGCAAATAAAATCAGCGAGGGGTCCGATATTTCGCCAACGGGTTCCTTCGGTATAAAACGTCGAAAAGGAATATTTGGAAAAGATCGGTGAAATTTTTTAAAATGTTCACCTCGTTGTGTTCACTACATAACAGAACAAAGACAATTTTTGTTGCAAACGAAATTATACGATCTGCATAATTAATCACGCAAGACTAGAATGCAATAGATATTAACAGAATATCATATATGACCTATACATATATAGTGATAAAGTATTAAATGTACTTACCGTCTTCCCACAATTACTGCCGCAATTTATAGACGTTTGCAGTATTTTTTTTTTTTTGCAGAATTCCTATTTTATATTTAATAAAGTAAGCGATTTTGTCATAAATGTTCGTCTTTGTTTGCTCGATGTAAAGAGAATAAATGTATTATTGTAACGAAAGATAACTTAAGTATGATTTCTTTTATAAGTATCTGCTTAACTATAATAATTATTACTATAATTTTTCATGTTCTTCCTAATATCAACAAGTCTGGTTGTGATAAATAATGGAATTTATTCATTTCATTATTATTTATCAACAGATTGTTTGAAATTCGATCGAACGTATAATTTAAATAGATACATGTACATAAAAAATTATCAGTTTACGTGTCAATCGATTATATACACATGTATAAATAATGAAGGCACCAAGGGAATCAACAATTAATAATGTACATGAGCGAATTTATACAAAAATTTCGAAAAAAATAAGATATAATTGACAATGATAGGAAAATGTAACCGAAGCGAATAACGAAATCGCGATATAATTATAGCTCGTGTGTAACAACGCGCGATGCGATTATTTACTTAAAATATGAGTGTTATTTGGTTGATTTAACGACTTGCCGTTAAAACCGCTGATCATTAATCGCAGAAACGCTAGTCGCATAAATAACTATGCAAACAGAGATGTGTCGACGTGATGTGATGAGAGAGATGCTCTTATCGCGCAGGGGAATGTTAAATTCGGCGGATCATGGACATCGAAGTGACGCGTTTCGATCACAGTCGGATAATAAAGATATTATTGACGCATCTGCCATACATCCAGTATATCTCTCTTTGCCTTTCTCTCTCTCTCTCTCACTCACAAACGTTTCCAATTTGTGTGCAATATTCGACGATTTATCAAACACGAACATTTTACAAACGTCAGCCTTCTGGCGTGTTGGAGTCTCGCGCGCGAAACCTGGAGCAACAACATTGCGCAAAATGTTGCTAAGTAGAGAGCAGGATTACTTTTTTTACATCCACGTTTCGTGCGTGAGACACGAGGAGATATAATTGCATATAATTATAATTAGACTGATAATAATAATAAAATAATATTAATCGCATTGTGAGACAATGATAATAAGAATAATAAGAATAATAGGAATCTTTTTTTACTCTTATCTGCCGTGAACGACATTTCATTCAACGAGAAAACAATATTTATCGATATACTTGATAGAAAAAAATTAGGCGAACACTCGGCATAGAGTCGGCCTTGTGTGCAAATGTAAATATTCTATTTACATACATAAGCTACGGAATTAAACTGCCTGTCTAGATTAAGAAAAATTGCAAATTATTATAATTAAAAGTCTAGCCAAGAAAACCAGAAAACTGCTGCATTATTTGCATCAGAATTATCATATATATTATATAAATACTTATAATTTCTCTTATTTTCCATCCTTAACCCAGACAGTCTCTAGATTTTTAAAAAGCAACTGACTCCCATTGGTGAGAACGCTTGCAGAACTGCGTATGTTTCTTCTTTGATCGCCAGTTCTTAAACGCCCACACAATTTACTATCATTTTTATAAATATAAGTTTATAATGTTCACCCCCCTCCCTTCTGTTGCGATACGTAATGTAGAAAAACAATTCTACAAGTAAAGTGCTATAGTTAATCACGTTTCGCGTTTACAAAATATCTTTATGGACAAGAGGCGACGCGTCGTCATCGTATCGCGTTATTGCGTTAAAATGCTCGGGATAATACGTGACCACGTCAAAGCTCGATGAAAAATGAGAGATCTTTATGGAACGTAAATTTCTGCTCTTCGTTAATTTGCATATATTTATATATCCTTTCTCTCTCATCGTAGATAATATTAAATTTCTGCAATTTCAACGTATATTACACGATCTATCTGCTGAATACTTTCTCGTTCCTCGTGCGCATACAATTCGCATTCGAATCGCGCACACGCGAAAGATGATATCTTGGATATGAATAATTTTATAACAAGCGGATTTGATTTTTGCTGAAGCTGATTGCTGATTGAGGTTGCCATCTTTTTATACAAATTCATTCTTTTTCTCTCCCTCCCTCATTTCCTTTCTCTATCTCTCTGTTTTCTATATGAGAGCCGACAGTCTATACATATTAATATTCCCTAGGAGGCGCAATGCCAAATGATCGTATCGCTCGTTCTAGCTCCGACTCAACGCGCAACGGTTCATCGTTACGTTTCAGGAGCGAAAATCTCGACTGAATTATCAGCGCTCTGAGCGTTAGAGCGCATTGCTCGTCTTCGCTCCTCGATCATTTGTCGTCGCGCCTGTTCTCTCGCCTCGCGCGCTTTTTTATTCGCCTCGCTATTCGCGGTCGGTTTCGCTTTGTGGACCGATATGACCCGTCGTTTACCGTTCTGTTGCGAGGCTGACGCGGCTTTCTTGTCCAGCGTGACCTGTACAAAATGCAATGGTATAATTGCAAATAGTTGTGATCGGAACGTCGAAGTATTATAAAAACTTTTTTATCTAAAAAGAAAAAATAAAACAAAAAAAAGAGATGTTATATTCAACATATATCGCGTAATCATATCCATTTATTTTTTCCCTCTATCTTCCATCTCTATTATTTAATTATGAAAAACATAGATTTGACTTTCTACACTATTTGCAAATTTTAAACAACAATTTCGGATAAAATTTTCCATTTCAGGATTAGACAGCGATTTTAATTTATTTCTTAACGAGTGTTTCATCAAACTTTAGCTTCTTCAATGACATTAAATTCGCACAATATTAAAAGCCAAATTAATTTTAATAATATTTAAATTACATACCTCTTGCCACTGCGACTTCCTCAGTTTTTCTATCTGCTCAAAAAGTTCGTTGACTTGAACAACCTGTAACATCACCATGTCCCAAAAGCCAGCTAAGTCTTCATTCGTCGTCGGAAACTCTTCACCCGGTACCTGATTCTAAAATATCAAAACACAAATCGTTAATTATGCTCAATTGACTTATTACGCAAGTAAAAAAATTCAAAAATATTTCTTACTATATTCTTTTGACATAATCCTTCGAATTGCTGCATCTTCTGCGAAGCTAACAATCTGGCCTTTCCCGCAGCAGATCGTAGTTTACCAGCTGCCTCTTCTGGTAATGAAACGGTGTCGCTGTCTAATTCGGCCTCCGCAGATGCAGCCAACGAGAGCAACCTATCTGTCTCTTGTTTCAATAACTAAAAAGACGAATGTCTCTATGAATTGATATTATCGGGAATCACGTCTGCGTCGCATACAATATATGCATTTTTTTCAATTACCTTTATAAAGTAATGACCGTCCTTCTCTTCGATTACTTTTTCCGCCTCTTGAGTCTGTTTCGCTATGTTCGCCGAACTGGTGCTAGGTTCTAACACAGGTAGCACTACTTTCGGCGCGGCTGGTTGTTGATCGGGTATGCTTTTACTACTACTACTATCGCGCTTCGATGCCTCACCTTCTATGATAACCGGGATTCTCGTTATTTTATTCTGTGAATTCGTGATTGGAGGAATCTTCTGCTCGGTTTTTCTCGTCGGTGTTACCCTAAAAATATTTCGTCATCAAAACAAAGAAATAAAACAAGATAATTTTTATTTTATTTATAGATAAATTATTCACCTTTGCAGAGGTTTTATGACTTGTTCCGTTCCGTCCGTGGGTTTTCTACTACTGACTACGGGAAGCTGCGCCCGAAATTCCGGCCGCAGGTGTCGCAAAACAGGCAGATTCTTCAACGATTCTTCCATGTTTACGTTGTCTGTCGAAATGTTATTGTTATTACTGGATTTATTGAAATGACTGTCACTGGTGTTCATCTTGGTGGTGCTGCGTTTGTAGAAGAAACCCTGTGCCAGAGCACCCGGGCCGTAGAGTCGCTCCACTCGCTGCTGAATAAAAGATTTTTCGCTACTCGACGAAGTGTTTAGAACTTGACTTTCCACTTCCCCCGTCGAACCGTTCAAAATGCTAGAATCATTAAACGATGTACCTGAAACTATACAGAAAAGAGAAAATTAACTTTAAAAAATTTAGAAGACTTTGATATGAAAATACGAATAAAACTAAAACAGAAGAAACTCAATAGATAAAAATTAATATCAAAATATTTTATCACGCTTAATCCTTTATAAATTTTCTGTTTTTAATTATAATAATTAAATAATAAGAAAAAACTAAAATTTTACGATGTAACAACCAAAAAATAAAATACAATATAAAATAACAATACAAGTTATTCAATTGTTAAATAGTGTCATAATGTATAAAAATATATTAATTACAGATTTTGCGAGTTAGAAAAGTTAAAGTTTCATTAAACTAATTGTAAGTTTTTGCAGTTGTAACAAGTTTACTAAAGATAATAAAAACATATAGAAGGATTCACACAAACAAAAATTAAAATAGAATCAAAATACCAATAGGTATCAACAATGTATTTCTCTCAACAAAAAATAATAATCGTCAAAACAATATAATATAGTCAAAACAAATATAAATCGATACCATGACCTACTGACTATACCTAATATTGGTAAAATTATCTAATAGAAAGAGAAAGATACGTATGCAACATTCTGTATTGATCTAACGATATCAAAAATTAATTTTTAATAATCACAAAAAATTTTTTAATTTACAAAACTCAACAAAATAAAAAAAATTATGCCGAAAACTATTAGAAAGTATGATAAAACTATTTATCGAAAAAAGTTTCCCTTACGGTCAGTGACGGCCTGCTTCGGAGAGGAAAAACCCGTACCATAGGACTTGTTCTGTTGACCACAGGACATCATCTGCGACAAGCCGGGGCTCCGTTTAGTCGCAGACGCGCTCATCCTAATGGGACTGAGGTCGGGAAACGTCGTGTGTAACGACACTGCTTTGTCGACTTCCGAATAACCCTGGCACATACTGATCGTGCTTCTGCTTTCCATGTACGTTTCCACCTTGCACTCTTCCTTCATACCGTTCGTAAATCCGTTCTGCCTGTCCATCGCTAACGGCGATATCGATTGACTCTTAGGCGGATGTTGGGGCGTCGGAACACTGAGATTCTCGTTGGATCTGTTAACATTTTTTAAATACTCAGTTAATACCAATAAATGTGTGTTTTATGAAGAAATACAAAAATAAAAATGAAATTAAAATAAAATTTAAACAAAGTGAATTGTAAGTGTCCCACCTGAAACCTGCAGGACTCGTGTCCCTCGTGATCAGCCTCGTGCCAGGACTGCTGTCTCTCGAGCGGAATCCTTCCCTCAGTTTGCTGTCGTACCTGGTGATTCCGGAGTAACCGCTTATGCTGCACGCCAGTCCCAAATAGCTTGGTTTCTTTGCTGCCGTCAGCTGCTCCGATTCCGGACAGTCGCGATGCACATTGCTGACGTTCAGCTTCTTTTCATCGGGGCTGAGGTGCGACTTCTGCAACGTCTCGCTGCTACCGTTCGCCAAATTCTCGGGTGACGACACCGGTTCGCCGTTGCACGCTGACAGATTCAGACTGTGCAGCGTCTTCTCCGACACGGAGTCTACGGTGTTCTCTGAAAGAGGAAATTCCAATCTAACACTCGCACGATTAAACGTTTTTCTTCTTCTTCTTCTCCTGCAAACTTCGATTTACTTTACAATCTGATAATCCCTAGAAACTAAAATTACCCTAATGCCAAAATGTCACATTGCAAGACTGAATAAGATTTGACGATTTCGAAAATTAATTTCTATGCCTTCTTGCGACAAACTAGAACTGTATAAATCGAGAATTGTGCAAATAAATATTTAAATCGCGCGTAGGTTCACCAATTACTCGATTCCCCGTGTTCCCATTAACTGATGAATGCTCGCGAGCCAACTTAACCGACGAGACATTCACCTTCGAAAAGCACTGCCGCCCACGCGATTACGCATATATAAATGCCAGATCGCGATTAAACGAATCTTATTCACATCGTTATTTCCATCGCCGCGACCCTATTTTCTAGGAATGGAGCGGTTCCAAGTTTCGTTACGTCAAAACGGCAAAAATTCAACTTAGTCACGCAGTTCTAAACTAACTTAGCGATCGGCTGGCGCGTCTCGCAGAAGCGAGATCTACCGACGACAAGTTCTTCACGCTCGTCTAGATCGTGGCGACGGTCCTGGAACACTGAGCAGAGAGTCCCTCACGGGTATCTCGTCGACGCCTTCTTGGCAACGACGTGGAAAAGAAGCATTGCACTTGGTGCGCTTGCCTACGGTCTAAATCCGATCGGCATTTCGAGCGAGCAAAAAGCACCCGCGACCTGCGAGAAGGTAACGGTGGGAGAGATCGGCGACCCCGAAAGATGACCTTGAAGTCTGGAAGATTGATCTTGACTGCGTACCTGAGAATTAGGATAGTAATACGAAAAATCTGAGCTAGTCACGCGCCTCTTTTTTTCAATAAATTAATCTGTAATGTATAAATGTCAGATTTTATAATGTTGGATTTTTTATTTTGCGCGAGAAGTTGAAGTAATAAAAAATGTACACGTAATTTTTACTGATTAGATATAACTGTGTCGGCGCTGTCGGATGTTTATCGTGCAGCTTTCAACGCCAATTAAGTGTTGTACTTTGGGATAATTAAAAGAACTCGTTCGAGAGATAAACTTTGAGATATACGCGCTCTTTTCAGGCGCACATTCCACCTTTTTTCCGGGATGATTTTCTCGCTTGAGCGACGCGTCTAATCATTCTTCGCCCGACCGAGTTCTCGCCGAGAATTCCCTGCGAGAAACGATCCCTCCAGAAAGAGATATTTTCTGTCATTTCAACAAAGTTCTCTTTCCTTACGTTCTAGATATTATCATTTAAAAATCCGTCCAATCCGTGTCAATTATAAATTTCCAAATCGTGATTCTCTTTTTGCGAAACTTTATTATAATTATAGATTATCGGATTATGTCTAATAAATAATATTGACATTTTTAGACATATACAGAATGTTTCTAAATAAGTACAAGAAATCTTAGTAAGTGATTCTTTGTCGAAAATTAAGGGAGGTATTCATATAAACATATATTTCTCCCTAAGGAGTTACATTTCTCTAAACAGAGTAGTAAAAATTTTGGACAACTTAAAAAAATTAAATTTGGCGGATTTTTCCACTAGTAAAAAAATACTTAATAATATTTTTTTAAATCTTCCCGTATCGTTATAAGAGGGTGAAACTAATCATTTATTCAATTATTTATTAGAAAATTAGAGGAATAGGAGCATAAATTAAAAAATCCTGCTTAATTTTCGACAAAGAACATCTCCTAAAATTGTTCGCACTTATTTAGAAACACCCTGTACATAATATGTAGTTCAGATTTCTCTCAGCGAGAATTTATATAATTTTGCTGATAACTTATTTGAATTTCAATTAATAACTCAATTCGATAAGAGCAATTTAGCCGCGGAATTTCCTCGCGATAACAGCGTAACGATCTTTTATCATCATAGGTAATCGCGGAAACGAACGGTGTCTCTCAATGCGGCAATGAATAGCCAACCTGATCGGTCGGACGCGGAGCGGTCGACGTCCAGGCTGCAACTCCCGATGCTCTCCTGGCTGGTCATGTTGGCGTGATGATGATGCCGGGCGCCGATCGTCGCCGACGGTCTCGAGTCCGGGTCCAAGCGGTGGTAGTTGAGAGGCTGCACGGCCAGGGAGAGCGGTCTGGTGCGTCGATGTGAGCGGATGCCACCGGCTCCGGGTACCGAAGACGTTGTCACCGTCGCGTCGTCAACGTCCTCCAGACCCGCCACCTCGCCGCCTCCACGCGGCTGCCCGCTCGCACGCCGATCCTCGTCCACGCGATCCTCGTGCACACTGCACAGTTCTCCGGTATTCTTATCCCGTATGCTATCACGCGGGCTTTGTGTGTCACGGAGTTTGTGTGTTCTCGAGCTCGATATTTGTATGTATGTATATATATATATATACAGGGTGTCCGGTAACTAACGGACCAATGATTAAGGGCGGATTCTCTGGCCAATTTGGAGACGATTTTTCCTCAGCAAAAATGTTGAGAAGTCAATAATTTTCGAGTTATAAGCGATTGAAAAAAATGGGTTTTTTGAAAACTAAACGTTTTGGAGTTAAAAGTCTAACATAATTACATTTTTCAGTTAATTTCAGGTAGAGTTTACTATAATACAATTTTAATTTGAGGCTTAGTTATAAAGATACATAATGACAAATATCGGAAAGTTGTAAAAAATGATGACCTTTTTTGACATTTTCGCTGAGGAAAAATCGTTCCCAAATTGACCAAAGAATCCATTTGTGATCGTTGGTCCGTTAGTTACCGGACACCCTGTATATATATGATATGCGATTGTAAATATACCGTTATTGTATTACCGATATTCCCGATTAAAAACTGATGTTTTCTTTAGAGAAAGCCAAAATCTCGAAAAAGGTCAAAATTCAAAATACATTAGGTTCTTCCATATGAAATGTCAACTTTTTAAAGCTTTCTTTGTCAACAAAAATTTATATTTGCACATGTTTTATGTATCATTTTAAAGTTTCAAATTTGTCTTCTTATATCTGATTTTATTTCTTCGATTTCATTGATTTCATTGAATATATTTTCATTGAATGTATCTTTTTTAATCTGAATAAACGTGATTTTTCCGTACTTTTTTATATAAGTAGAAAAGTTACCATAATGGTGCACGAGGCGAGAACTCTGTCAATGAACGCACCAGTATAACAAATTTAAATTTGAAGATAAAAGCCTCACAAATGACGATCGTAGATCTGAGACTAGTTGATGACATTAAAAGTTAAAGCGGTTCCACGTCAAACTGTTAGAAATGTATAGAATAATTCTTTAATTGATAAAGTTAAGTTTTCAAAATGTTTCTTTAACTTTTTTATTAAAAAATATTTTTAATACAAAAAATCATGTTTATTCACATTGAAAAGAATGTTGAAAAAAATACATTAGATCGAAATCAATTAAACCAAAGATTAAAATCAGATATAAAAAAACAAAAACTTCAAAATGATATACATAAAACATGTACAAATATAAAGATTTGACAAAAAACCTTTAGAAAATTTATTATATGGAATAACTTAATAGATAACGAAATGTTATTATTTAATATTAAATCAATTTTAATTCACGATTAAAACATTTAACATTTGTCTTCAAAAGCTGGCCTCCAGTCGAGAGAAAATTATTTTAGCTTTCAATAAGGAATATCGTTTCTGCTTTTCATCTTTCACTTTTATCAAATTATTATTCAACGACTTAATATCGCATAATGATATTAAGAAAAAGCCAACGACCCTTCGATCTAAAATATTGATAAATCAACATTGAAAAAGTTTAGAAATTTAGTAAAATTGAAAAAAAATTCACAAAAAATAATCTAGGATGTAATAGGACTTTAAGTTACCGCGGAAGAGATGCGACGAAACGAGCCGCATTTCTCCGCAATTCCTTTTTGAATGTCACATTACCTCGAAGCACGAGAAAGCGGCACGAATTAGCATTTACCGGTAATCGTGCGACTGCTTTTTGCACGCGACATTCGTACGGCAAACTGATAAACGGGTCTCTGATATGGTTTTTTTCTTTTTTATCATGTGTCACCGCGACGAGGGAGCTCGAGAACATTATGGGGCTGCTGGCGCCACTCGAATAAGTCCGATGGATTACCGGTTTCTCGTTCGGACCGGCGTTATTTTGCATATATAATGTTACACAGTTCTTGCGGAGAGACTCGACAACATAACATTGATGCAGGGGAATCTCGCGGACCACAAAAATAGATTTTACAACATTGCCGGCCGGTAGAGTGAGAGAGAAGTTCGATTTCGACGAGATTCCCTTGAAATTCTTCCGGCGCATTTTTGCGACGTAATATTAACGAGTCGTATATTCTGTCTCTTTGCCAATGTAATGAGAATAATTAGCGATATATCGATATAGCACGCGCGTAACTATGTCGGACGAAAGCTTGGGCGCTTTAATGTTCTCCAGCAATGGAGAAAACCGAGTGAAAAGTTGCACACCGCGGGTAAAAAACAGATTTGTGAACTTAATGAAGGCAAACATCATATGTTATGTGCAGGCAATCTCATTAATTTCAACATGACTTTCGTATTTTCCTGCATAATCAAGACAATGAATAAATTAATGAATAAATAAGCAATTCTTATTGCCGCGATTCACGCAACACGCATCAATGTTATATTTTTTCTTTTTTCTGCGTTATATTATGCACGAAATCTCCGCATTTCACACAAAAAAAACAAAATAATATTATAGAAGATATATTGTAGTATTTAATTTATTTTAAAATTAATTTAAAAACAAATAAATTTATTTAAATACATGTTCGATTTTTGATCTTGTTTCCGAATTATGGCAAATTTTATTTTATTTTATTTTAGTCTATGTATATTTGGCTATTTTCACAAGATGTGCTAAAAATGCACTACATATTGGAATGCCTGTCACATTTTTACTTGAACTTGTATTTGTAAAGTCATCTGAAATCTATTATATTTATATAATACTCGATAGAATATTTATTACAATATTTAATATTCTGCCATTAAATATCATAAAGCAGCAAGTCCAAAGAACATTTGAAAAATTCGAAAAAATCAAAACATCAATGTTAAAATTACTATTCAGGTACAAAGTAGTCATTTTGAGCACTTCTTGTGTAGATACAGATAACTAAAATATGAAATTCAATAATTATTAGTTTTAATCAAAATAAAGGAACATTTAGAAGAGCTATTTGTGTAATAGATGTGGATCTCGGAGACCTTATCGAGTGGCACCAGCTTCCGATATAATTGATTTATATCGCTAATAACTCGCTCACGAGAGACTTGTGCAAATAGTTCCGGCGCACGAATGGAATTGTCGGCAAATCGGCGCCGGTGTTAATTGCACTCGCTAATCGTGCGAAAGGCATCGGTCTTTCGCCGCGAGTCGAGCAGGGATATCAACTATACAGATCCATTCATTTTAACTGCACATTTTTTTGTTTTTTAAAGTAGGACATGTAGATAAAAATATATAAATATATATATAAATATATATATTAAATATATATAATATATAATATTAAAAATATATATTAAAAATATATATATTAAAAAATATATATTAAATATATATATATTAAATATATATAAATATATATTAAATATATATATATATATATATATGTATATATGTATATTTATATTCTAAAGGAAAAATAGTTCAAGATCGCGCAAAAGTGTGGCCAAAAAAATAAACCTTACGTACGGATCAGCACAAGCGGGTGCACATCGAATATAAGTGCCATCAAACTACATGCAGTTAAAATCGCTCTCACATCGGCGACTAAACTCGCGCGACAGCCTTTTAACATATGTTACACAGGAAAAACACATCGTCCGAATGGACGATTTGTCGCACGTTTACTCGCTCATGTAATCACGACGACAGTGTATGTAAGTGTAACGTGTACACACAGGATCACATAGAAGGAATCTCTTCGAAGAACTCACACACAGTATAAAATATAGCGGCTCGTTTTTCAAATCGTTACGCGTCTCGATTAATTTTAAGTATGTAGAAACGCGATGAAATATTTTTATATAATATTCTAATAATTCTGTATTACAAATTATGGCGAACGAAATTACAAACATTGATTGGGATACATTTTTTTCGATGCAACTCCTCGGTGCATAAAATGCATCAGACACCAAAATTGCATTCAAATCGTTACATGTCTCGATTTAATTTTAAATATGTAGGAACAAAATATTTTTACATAATGTATTCTAATAATTATGTATTACAAATTGTGGTGAACGAAATTACAAATGCTTGATTGTGATAAGTTTTTTCGATGCAGCTTCTCGGTGCAAAATATGCACCAGACTCCACAATTGCATGTAATGTAATGCATGCGACGTTCGTAACGCGGATTGAAGAAACGAGTCGCGTGAATAGATAGATAGGTAGGTAGGTAAATTGTTCGATGTTGTACAATGTTGTTTACAATGCGGAAATCGGCGCTGACATAATTGCAAGTTAACGGTTTAAGGTGCATCGCGGATGTACAGGCGTGCGGCCAAGCAAAACTAAGGTGTGCAAGGTGAACGAATCATGCTCGATCGTCGACGACGATGATGATGGTGATGGTGATGATGATGGTGCGGTGATGATGAGCGTGTATATGGCGTGGACGCACGTACGAGCGAGAATTAATCGACGAGGAAAATGTCAAAGTGTTATTATATATACGTGTACATAACGACGTTTCTCCATAAGGCGATGCTGACCGCGCAAATATTCGAATAGATCATCATCAATGTGTCGAATCTATTAATTATTCGCTTGTCTTGAATCTCGAATGCATCATTTCCGTATACATTGGATAGAAATGATAGCTTGGATATATGTGGCATCTAATATCGTGGATGCATCTTATTATGCCGTTAATGAATCTCGACCCTAATCACGTTCTAATTGTTCGCCATAAACATTTAGGACGCAACAAACACATTGTGCCTCAAAGGGTTGTGTACAAGGTGTATCTAAATAAATGCGAAACATTTTAGGAGATGATTCTTTGTCGAAAATTAAGGGAGGTTTCTTATACAAACATATCCCTCCTTAAAGAGTTATACTTTTCTAAAGAGAGAGGTAAAATTAAGTTTTTATTTTATTTTATTTTTTAATATTAATAAATATCCTTTTTATTAGTAGTAAATATCCCACGAAGTTTCATTTTTTAATTTGTTTGAAATTTGAGAAAAAAAATTAATTTTTATTTACTTCTTTAGGAAAGTGTAAATGCTCAGAGCGGGATATAAGAGTATACGTTTATATAAAAAATCTCCCTTAATTTTCGACAAAGAATCATCTAAAATTTTTCACACTTATTTAGATACACCCTAAATAATGGGACATTAATTTATTATTAACAGATTAATCAACGATACACATTAATTATTAATGACGTATTAATAATTTATCCATTCTCTGTGAGAACAAATATTGTAAAACCCGTGTTATTCTCCATAATAAAAAAACATGCAAGTATAATACACACAATATCGGCGTCAGAACATATCCTTACACTCTTAAAATTCCAAGGAAAATTTTCAATCCTTTACAAACGTCTATCTCCCCCTCTCTTTTTCTCAGCCTACCTTCGCCGCCAATGTTTCCAGAGGAGGAACTTGGAGACATTCTTTTTCGTTACCGGATTCACTGTATAGGTACCGCTCTCGATTTTTAGAGGCATCCTTAGCCGCGAACGCGTCACTTCGGATTGCGCTCGATGCGCATCGACGGCGTGCGATCGTGGGCCGATATATCGATCGTAAGATGATCTGCGAATGTCAAAGGGGATGGTATTGCACGCGTATTATTTTTCCTGCTTGTATTTCGAAACGGCAATAAGCGTCGTTAAAATACGATTCCAAGCATTATTGTGCGCTCTATACAGTGTGCGTGTTACATGTATTATTTACAAATGACCTTTTTGCGACATTTTTATTCCTAATTAAATTATTATTATAATATTTTGTAATTACGTATTTATAAACACATCACAGTTCATCTTATTGTCAATTAATCTCACATAAATGGAGGGGGATATAATATCCGTGTGTATATATACATACATATATATATATATATATATATATATATATATATATATATATATATATATATATATATATATATATATAACGCAGTTTCACCGATCGCCACCGATTTATTTATTACTCTTTTTTATGATCACCCAGCAATTGTGATTCCTCTCTTTTTCGCGTCGCCTTTTGTCACCGTGGTACTCGCGAGCACGTTTCTAGGATGACTAGTTGCCGAAGACTGGCATCCTCCCAATCTCATCTCTCCGTACCGCAATTCTCTCTTTCTTTCTCCCTCTTTCTCTCTCTCTCTCTTTCACCCAGTCTCTTCAAATCTCCCGTCTTTCCAGCTGGTCTCTTTATCTTTTCTCGAGCCAAGAGTATTTTTGGAACACTCAAAAAATCACGATGGCACACGGTGCCGCTTTCTCCCATCTCCCTGCACGTTATTTCTTTTTTTCCTCTTCTTCTGCTTCTGTCTTACTCCCTTTGCGCGGGCATTAACGCGTGAACGAACGTGGAAGGGCGCATGAATTTAAAGAGGACCGCGAGCGGGAACACGTGCCCGGCACGCGCGTGCGCCGCAGAAAGAAGACGAGTGCTCCCCAAAGATCGCATCGACGAACTCGTGAGCAATCTTCATAAATCGTCCCTCCCCTCGATTATGAAATTTCACAGAGACGTAAAAAAAATTTAACGCGTTTTTATTGCAAGTTACAAATAAAAATCATTTTCCGAATATGTAGCTATTAAGAATTATTTTCTTTCTTTTCTGCACTCTTTGCTCAAATTATTACACAGAGAGAATTTTCTCTTAGAATTTATGTACATAATCGTGAGACAATATAGTATTGGAAGAATTTTAATAAAAGTTTGTCTGATTAAATATTTACGTACTGTGCAATAAAAATATTAATATCTACCAAAATAAGATATAAAATATTCCATTAATTTGACTACATATAATTCATATACTAATACTTTTTATTGTGGTAAATATTTTAATCGGAGAAACTCATAAAATTCTTCCAATACACCTCTTATAAAATTCTCCCAATGATATTTTCAGGATAAATTTTGCGAGAAAATTTTCTCCGTGTATGATAAGAATAATAAGATTAAGATAAAGATAAAAATGAATAGCGCGCACAAGTTAATTTGTTGATGCAATTTTCGAAGAAACAATCGAGTAATACGGAAGAAGAGCCTGTGCCTTCGATTTCACGTGTAGGCGAGCAGATAAGTATCTTGTGTAAATCGTTGTTAAAAGCTAATAATCCCTTTTGGTTTCTGTCATCTGGTCTTTTATGAACCGTTAATCCGTAAGCGCTTTTATGGTCTGCGTAATAGTTTCTCTTTCTTCGCAGGGTTGCTTTCTTCGATGTCTATTTTCAAACGGCCTCAATTCCGTGGCTGTCGCAAAGTATGCATCACTATGTATAAGAAGCTATTACGCTTTGTGTGTTTTAGTAATTTGACATAATTCATTTGCCTTTGAAATGGAAAAAAAAATTCCCGAGAGATACGCCAAGATTTTATGCGGAAAGGTTTCAAAGAACGCACGCGTTAAATCTCAGTATTATAAAAATTGAAATTTACGTGTTACATTTTTTTATTATTTAATTAATACTGAAACTTTAAGCTCAAACAAAGATCTCGTCTGATTTTCTCCAGTCTCGCAAAAAATGTATGGGAAAAAAAGTGTTAAAATTTATTATCAATATATAAAAACCTTATAAATTATACTTAAAGCCAATTTATGTCGTATCGTAATGGTAACATAAATTTCAGATAAGATAGAAATAAAATAGAGAGAGGGTATAATGTGTTTCGTTCCTCCCCGGAAGAATTCTCGTATTCCCAAATGCTAGGTATAATCCGTGTAAAGGTTTCCCTGTCATTAATCTATTTCAGTGCTGCCGGAGAGATTTACGGGCTCGGTAATTGAAACCGACAAGAATCCGGAACGTTGTTGACGAGGAAGGGTTCGGTGGTTCGTGTTCACGACGGGGTTTCCGGTTCGTTTACACCGATAGCATCGAAAGCATCTCGAGATGTCAACGACTCTAGCGCTAACAACCCGGAAACTCGCTGTATAATGTCCACAAATCCTCCCTTTTTGTCGCAGAAAAACACTTGATTACAAAGCATCAAGGGAAAAGAGAAAAGGAAATTCTGTTCAATTCTGTCTTCTCTTGCCGAAAATTTATGCTACATGGAGCATCAACTCGAAATGTAGGTTTCAGCTGATTACAAACTTCTGTCCTATCGAACGAAGGTTCCTCGATCTGTGCGCATCAGCTGATTCTTTTATCTTCGTTATATCGCGGTATCACGATATCCACCAAATGATCTTTGATCACGAAAATTACAGACTATCGATAAAAAGAAAATTCGCAACGATGAATCGTGAGCGATAATTTCTGCTGGATTTCACGAATCAAAATTCATAAAAATTTCAGATTCCACGCCGATTAATTTCTAGCAACGGAACTAAGCCATATATTCTAAGTTTAATAAAATATATAATATATTACAAGCCTAATAAAATATATCTGACAGTAGTAGAGCGATTAATTTATTCAATTATATTTTATAAAAATTTGTATAAAATATCGCTAGCGCGAAATTTATCATAAATCCACGAAGTATTGTGATATTCGCAAAAAAATATACATAAAGGACACAAATAAAATTTAATCGAAAGCATGACTAGCGTGAAACAGAAGCTGCCGTCTGGGAATGCAGAAAGTGCAGCTATGAATTCAAATGCAACATGTCGCTAACGCTGCGCTGAAAGAGTTGTCACGTGCGAATCCGGTGAAAAATTATGTAGAAAGAATCTCATATTTCCTAAATATATTCTCAAATAAAAAACTTAAAGATATAAAAATTTGCAAATTTATTTCAAAAATTAATATATTTTTTCGAATAAATCGCTGTAGTATTATCGAAGAAGAAAAATTCAAAAATGATCTCTTAAAAGTCTAACTAATTTTGTAGCTTCAGAAAATTGCTTACGAATTCGTGGTAAAAGTGTACGTGACCTTAACTCGGGACGGAGTAACCAGCTCATAGTTCGATATGCTATCTGCGTTTGTCATCACTCATTGTCAATGACAGTGTGACCGTGTGCGATATATGACGCGACTTAACGAATGGACATAAATCCATGAAAACAAGGTACGCGTATTGTACATAAACTTTTCCTATAGATATCAAATTAACAAAAGGAACATGTGTTCTCGCACCTATCACGTTTCCCGAAGGAAAACTGCATAAGCATTTTGCATACCGATTATCCTTGAATGCACCTGTATACCTGAAAGGCACGAATAATCTCTCTTGTTTAGCGTATTTATTCATCGGAAAGACACCACTAATGTCTGCTACGCGAACGATTATATAAATAATGGATAAGAATGAGAAGATAGACGGTAAGATCGTGAATAATCAAATCATCGATGAACAATGTAAATGTCACTCGTACAAACTAATTAATCGATTACTTCTACATGCGCCACGATCAAAAACAACAACAACAGCTCTTTTGCATCGTCTGGGTCACGCGTGACCTGGATGTAAAATGCCTCATGATTTCTCGTCTAGTCACGAAGTACATTGACATGAAGTTTCACGCACTTAGTAGAGGAAAATATTTACCTCCGAATATGGGTTGAGCTCGCTTCACGGAAAATAGAGTAAAATCAAAATTAATATTATTCGCTTAATTCATGATAATCGCGAGCTAAAATTAGACTCTAAGAAAATACACGGTAATTTAAAACATTGTTGCTGCATCGTAAAAGATTTTTGAAACTTCAAAGTTACATCTCGTAAATTCTGCACATTAGAGATGAATGTTTATGTATATTTATGTTATAACGTATCGGATGAAACACGCATGGGAATCCTATCTGGACGTCACGGTTGAGAACTTGCGAGGTATATTAAGTTACGAAATGAACGGTAAATCGTGGGGAGACTAGCCTAAAATAGAGAGCCACTGTCGCAGCTACAAGACGGTTCAAATACCGGTATTAAAACCGTTTTCCGGTTTACCCATCCAACATGTAACAGAGGAAATATACGCGTCCACACATAAGTCATTGTGCGCAAAATTGATCGACGTGAGAGATGATAAAAAATAAGATCTGGAAATCGATTTAAGAATATATTTTTATGCCTCGACTATATGTACCAGGGTGTCCAGCAGACTTAATGAAAAAAATTCCCCGACTTTTTCAGATTTTTCAAGACCAGAAATTAATTTTTTCCCTGACGTTTTAATATTATTTTTTCCAAATATATAATTTGCATATATCTATATGATAAATCAATTAAATGTTCAATCAAGAAATCGTTGAAATATTTTTGCCAACAATAAAAAGGTTCGGAAGTTAAAAAAACAAAAATTTTAATCAATTATACAATCTGCATTATGTATAATCGAAACAAACATGTCACTGTAAACTATTTAAATCACCTTTTTTATTTATATTATATCATTTTTTTAGTTTTATCTCTATTAAATACATTGAAATAAAATAACACGACGATGAAAATATAAATTAACGAACATGCTGTAGATGAATCAATTTTTACAACACAGAAAATTAGCGTGTTGGAAATCAAGGAAAAGTTTATATTTATTAATAAAAAATTTCAAATTATTGTGACAAATGTAGAATAATGTGAAAAAATCCAGATAAATAGTAAAATTTCCTGACTTTTCC